CTACCTCTGTAGCCGACGCAACACCATCAACTCTCCTTATGTCGCTCAAGACAAATGTTTGGATATTGGATATGATGGTAAGTGCACAGCATCTGTTCAGCAACCATAACATCGACTTGTTTGCCGAGTACGTGGAATTCGTTGCGCGTGGTCTGGATGAGAATCCGATTACTGAAGCGGAGCTTACGAGGGTCTTGGAGAAAGTACGCGAGCGCACAGTGAACGCGGACGAGGATCTAATGTCCAAGATCAAGGTTGCAGGACTAATTGCCCTGAGGAAGAACGCCTGGGTTATGTGAAAGCAAGAATCTGACATGTCGCAAAGCTTGGAAGACTTGACTATCGTACCCGGTTGGCGGAAAGGGACCGTGTCTTGTATCATAAGAACATCAGATAGTCTCCTGCTGCAATTCTTCTCAGCAGTCAATGTACTATTATCATGTGTCACCACTGTAGCCGCACCTTCGCCGCCAGTGTGCAAGACCCTGACCCTGCGCCCAACGCCAAGCCTTCATCCGTTGCTCCTGCCCATTGTGTCGAGTCGCACCACCTCGACGCGTAGAATCACATCGTACGCATTACTGATCTCACGCATCCAAAACAACACGACAAGATGGCTGCAGCTACAGCGGCGCCTGTCGATGTGTCTTCGCAGCTTTCCAGAGACGTATACCAAGAGCAATTCGATTTCATTGAGCTCATCCGCGATGTCGTTGCCTCGCTCGATAGTCAGACTCCAGACGACGCGGTACGCGATCAGGTCGACCTGATCCTCGCACTTGTTGGTAGAGACCTGCTAAAACTTCACGCACTCGCTAGAGTCGTCAACGCTAAGATCGTTGGTCAATCAAGCTGGGCCTCAATCGGCGTCAAGTTCTACAGGCAAGCTATCAGTCATAACGCAGCAGGTTCGCGGCTAATTAATCGGTTCTAGGGCGCTATTTACCGCTATCGATCCGACTCTCGAGCTCGAAGTCTTCAACGATGAAAGTATCATGGGTGCCGATATCGCCGGCATGTACATCCTAGAGGCCGCCGTGGAGTTCACTACTCAGCCAATCTGGATATCTGGATCGGTCAACGTATTGGAGTTCTCGCTGAGTCTTCTCAAAGCCTTTCCAGTCGGAGATCGCGGATCGGCAATAGCGGAGAGCCTGGGTTGCAGCCTGTTGGAGAAGATGGCAACCTCTCTTTATCTGCCATTCCACAACAATTGCGACACATTCTTTCCGTTCGCGTACGAAGTTGTTCCGCTGCTCGATGCTGCAGATAAGAGCATGAAATCTAGCCGTGTCACGGACGTCCTAAAGGCACTGAAAGAAGAAGACTACGAAAGGACGGATCGGGAGAAAGGCTTACTCAAGCACCTGTGCGACATACTCGGGAGATCTGACCTCTATCCGCATCACACAGAGTCTAACGTGTTTGAAGACGGAGAATCTATTGCGGCCGAGCACACAGAATCTACTGCGATCGGACATACCGACTCTACAGAGGCCGGTTATGTATACGGCCGGGGTCGACTAAGCCTCATTCCGTATGAGCAGCTCAAGCAGGATATCGAGACCAACTGGAAGCTCTTCACCACAACACCGAACTGGGAGTTGCCGGCGATCGCACGGTTGCTCAAGAGCACCTCCGAAGTCATGAAGATTGACGCTCCGATCTGGGTACAGACTATCACGCTCGACATGATCCAGGTTATGGTCCAATCGAAGTATCTTTTCTTGCGCAGGAACTTCCAGATACTGTCCTTTTTCGTCTTTGCTGCTGCACCTGCGCTTGACGGTATGGCAGAGACTCCCCAATGTGAGCGGTTGACGGCTCTGCTCGATACGCTCAGTGGCCACAGCGGTGTGCAGAAAGCCCAGCATCGCGAGACCATCGACGGTCTCCGCCGGAACCTGGGTAGAAGCGTGCATAGTGCAACATCAAAGTCCACGGTCGATGGTTCCGAAGGAAAAGAGCTTCTAGCCGCTGTCTCCAAGCTCAATATCGACTGATCCTCTGGTCCAGGAAACATGGTTTCGGATCGCCCGGGCCGGTTCGTTCGATGCATAGAGGATTGGCAAGAAAAGGTGACAGCGTGGGTGGCATTGATTATCGGGATGGACAAGAGCGAGTATGTCTGGAGCGATAGTTCTGTCATACTCCTGATCGGATCGTTTGTGATACCCGGTATGCCATGTTTGGATGCTGTACAGGCTCATGTGCTTTACACGTCTAACAACTGTTAATTCGAAGAAGGCTTCTCATCAAGTTTTTTTTGTGTATTTGCCGCTTTTGACCGTGCTTTATTAAATTCGACTTGCCAGCTCATCTCGCCGAGTAGTGAAATGTTGCTGTCCATAAGGCGCAAAACACGACCGGGCTGTAGTCGGGTCAAAGGCGCATGCTGCTCTTCATTAACAAGGAGGCTGGTTGTGGTGGGGACTTAAGGGGATCGGCAAACCTCTAGCGGATTACGTCAGATGGTCAATGCATGTCGCGCACCTTACGCGTGCCCACAATCCCATCGTGCATTGCCAGCTCCAACATCGTGATCTTTAAGCGGTCTGGACTGTACCTCATCGCATGCACACTTCACTCATGACGACATGTGTACCCACAGACTGAGCTCACTAGTGGACGAATTGAGCGGATGAGTACGGATCCTCTGCCGAAACGAGCCGCCACGCTATGACGATGATCATCCACCCTGCTGCAATTTCGATAAACATCGTTTGACAAACCATTTCTCTGGGGAACCGTATCAGTAACACCTGCGCATAGCACATCGTCCATCATCCATATCGACCGACCCTCATCTTCGTCTTGAGCGCTGCGAGATTCCCTAATCACCTGCACGACTAGCTGCAGCTGTCTCCACAATGGCGGAACCAGAAACCAAGAAAGGCGGCTTGCGCGCCATGTTTGGCATGCGATCAGGGAAACAACCAAAAGAGCCGGCTACGCGGAAGAAACTTTCCAAGAAGGGATCACGAAGCGATATGCTCGGAAAGCTTGACTCAACCACCAACGTAGCGAACCCCAACCGCCAAGACTCTGGTAGCTTTACGAACGAGAGAACCGATCTCTCAGACAACAGTTTTGGCTTACCTACCAATGAAGACATCACTGGCCTCGCGCCGCATGCGTTGCGTGATCATCCATATGCTGCTGTTAATGCTCTCATGGATACCAGCAACGCCTACCTACAACCTGGGCAACAAGCGGCCGATTACCGCCGCAACTCAGAAGGACAACCACAGTATGCCGCGCCTTTGTATCAACCACACAGCTCGAGATCTGCATCAATACCGCAGTCGGGCAATGAGCAGACCCTACCATACGCGCCATCGAGATCGCAGCCATCAAAGCTGACCAAGTCTCATCGCGCGCCTTCAAAGCATGTCAAGGCCGATGACATTCTTGACAAAGATACCGGAGAAAGAAAGGATCTGACAGACATGATGCATGCTTTCACGTACATTGATGGTGTCGATACGATTGAGGAAGAACGAGATGATGTATCTTTACTCTATGATCCTACGAAGCCCGACGGAACAGCATTACTCGGCAGCGCATCGCCTGAAGTATGGCTTCATGTTGCGGACTTCCTATCACCACTCGAAGTTGCCAACCTATCCTCTACATGCCGCACCATGTACGCTCGACTAGGTAGACACCCATACAAACTGCTCATGGATCCGCTCCACCGGCCACAACGGCTCGACTTTTTACTTTCCATGGACCACAAGATGCCACGCCATCTTTTCTGTTTTCCATGCGCACAATGGCATTTGCGCATTCAGCCTGGTATGGAGACAATGAAACCTCCCAATGTTCTCAATCCACTCTTTGAGTGCCCCAATCGAACCAACGTTCACATTCCTCCACCAAGGCTCCGTATCAGCGATGGTCGCACATTACCGTTCGCATTCGCTCAATTAGCCCGGCGCCATTGGGCCTACGGCGCAGATTACGGCATTCCTCATCAGTCGCTAGGCCGCCGTTGGAAAGACACCTATTCGACCTGGAGGCATGATTCTACCTATCACATTACCGATAAAGGTCACCTATTGATGCGCATCCGATCACAACAGTACGTGGAAGGGGGTATGACAGATGCAGCAAAGCGTATGCTTTTGTTCAGCCGTGGAGACTTCACCCCCTACTTCAGCGTTTGCGCACATTGGAAGCACGGGCTGTTAACATCGATACCTAAATGTGCACTGTCGCATATTCCCCATGTACACGAATCTGAAACGACCGCTCTTGACAAGTTCCGCGAACGCAGCTTAGGAAAGAAGGCTGTTGGCATGGTCAATCTCTGTTCCATATGCCGACCGATGCGCCGCTGTCCCAGATGCCCGACCGAATACCTCTTCGAACTCAAACTTGTCGAAGACAAGAGCGTGCGCGGCAACGGCCCTGAGCGCTTCAAACAGGCTCTCATCGTCACGCGTTGGAGTGATCTAGGCCCGGCACGCAGCCCTGAGGACCCTGAATGGAGTGCTATCACTGGTGACAACCAGGAATACGATAGTTTCAAGGAAATCGGACGAAGAGCTGTTAGTGGTGTGTTTGAGAGTGCGTTCACGGACACGATACCCGGGCAGCGGATCATGAGTATGAATCCTATGGACGTGAAGGCGAACGAAGAGAGCGGAGACTGGTATTAGTCGACACTCATGTAATGATTAATGTATGCGATAGCATGGGAATGTTCGGACGACCCGTATAGTGCCTTAGCGAGCTCACGATGGTGCATTCGTCATAACCGCGCTCCCCATACAACCCTACTCTTTTACAGGGGTATCACATTGCGCCTCCAATACACCCTATAATCTACACCCTACTCCACGACAAGCCCTCAACTCCTCTTCATGCATCGCTCCCACGCTGTTACATGCTAAACTCCGCGCTTTGAGCAGCCTCAACGCCACACCGCGCACATGCGAAACACCACCCCAATGCATGCGCTCAACTACTACATTCCGAAACTCTTCACCACGCTTTCACGGTGCCCGTACCACCTTCCTCCCCGTAACCTCATAACGCTGCAACTCCTGGAGAATCTTCGGAGAGTCGGCAAAGTCGTAAACTTCAACCTTGGGTGTGATCTTGCCCTGCAAAGCCATCTGCAATAGCTCATCCATCTGCTTGGCGCTACCGGTTGAGGATCCTCTGATGACAAGTCCTAGACTCGTTAGCACTTTTCAGGTCAATAGCTGTGCAAAAGCATACCTCTATTAGCGATATGAATCGGGCTCATAGGAAACATGAACGTATCCGGTGGAAGTCCCACGCAAACAAACACGCCACTGTTCCTCGCCAAAGCCGGAGCTTGAAGATACGCCCTTTCGCTGCCTGCAACACAAATCACACCATGCGCACCTTCTCCATCCGTCAGATCTCGCACGGCTTGTAACACATCCTGCTTCGCATAGTCGACAAAAGCCACGGCGCCCATCTCCTTCGTCAGCTTCTCTTTCTCGGCACCACTGTCAATCGCAATGACCTTGTATCCCTTGATTGTAGCGATCTGTACACCGATGTGTCCGAGACCTCCTCCAGCACCAATTATAGCGACGAAGTCACCGGGGTTGACCTCAGGTGTAAGTTTCGATACAGCGCCTGCGAGACTGAGACCTGCGCAGAGTAGTGGCGCTGCGATCTCGCTCTTGACTCCTTCCGGGATCATGGTAACGAATTCCGCATCTGCAACCACATACTGCTGTAGAGTACCCCATACGCTTCTTCCAGTATTCTTCTGCTTGGCGCAATGGTTCTCCTTGCCTTGTTTGCAGCTACTGCACTCTTTACACGCGTTCCACAGCCACTTTATGCCTACTCGCTTTCCCAGCAGATCTTCTGACACTCCCTGGCCCAGCGACACGACAGTGCCGACGCCTTCATGACCGGGCACTTCGGTGTACTTCCCAGGCGAAACGAGGTTATGGCAGTCGCTGTGGCATATGCCGCTGTATTCGAGCTTTACGAGGAGTTCGCCGGCCGAAGGGGATTGGACTTGGACATCTTTGCGGATTTGGAGGACGCAATCCGGACCGGGGTCTTGGATCCAGCCTGCGGTTTGCGTTTTGGGGATTGACTCGGTCATCTCGTCGCGTTCAGGGGGGAGTGGGGTTTTGGTGGGGTGCTGCTTCGGTGATCGTCGCTGTTATTTCGGGGTAAGGAGATGGCTGTGGCAACTGGGCAACGAGGGGAGCGTTCGTAACTCAAGCAGCTGGATGCGCGTACAACAAGGAAACAGAATTGAAAAGACGCGGGATTCTCGATAAGCAATGAGACCGGCGGCAATAGTATCCCAAGTGGTGACGATACCCCGCGGCAGCCCCACCATCGGCCTTCTCCGACACTACCAATCGGAGCGCGTCGACCTCCGCATCTTGGACGCGGCTGCCTCATCCGGCTAAACATCATTCATGCGACTTTCCTATCTTCTTCGATTCTTTTTAAGGACAGATATCCAATACATAAATGTCGATGGGCGAGGCAATGGACAAGATGACGGGAATCCTTGAGAGGATGCTACGGTACAAGAAGGGCTTCTGATATTGCTTCAATGACTGTCTAATGTCGACATTACTTCCTCCATCATCGCGTCTGCGCCCATCGCTACTGTGCGATGTTATCCTTCACCATTTTATCAGACAAAACCGGTCCGCAGCGAGAGTTCTCAGGTCTCCCCTTCCTCGGGCGCCACCACGTTGCCTTCGCCTTCGAGCCTCATCTGGGCAAGCATCTCATTGACGCTCTGTCCCTCGCTATCTCCTGTCATATCTTCGGTATTTCCCATTCTTTCAATCTTCGGTTCGCCCTTGTTCTCCATAGCTTCTTCGTCTTTCTTCATCTGGACAACAGCCCACGAGTAAGACATGCTCTTCATCAAATTGACGGAGCCTCGCTGTCTTGGTACATAGTTGCCGTGTTTGTCCTTCGGGTTCCACTTGTCCCACAACATGTGAAGCAGCCCTTGGGAACCAGGCTCGAGTATTTGTAAGTGTTCTATCTCGTACCATCCGATGAACTTGAAGGGTCGGCTATCACGTCGGACGACCTGAGAAAAGACGGCGATTGGAGAGTAGTCGATGAGAACTCTCTCGTTGGGGTGATCTGATAGCGGCTCAGTGGTGGTGGGCTCCGGTGTTCCACTCGATGAGCCCTCCTCGTAATCCTCATCTGCGACTTCGCTGCTCGTTGGTAGCATGACACCTCCGTCCTCACCAGGCTCGTCTAGTCGTTGGGCGGGTACTGCGACGGTGATTACTGTTTTAGGCTCGGAAGGAGGTGTGGCTACCGTGAGAAGGTTCAGGTTGCTCTTGACGAATATAACTCCGTCCTCATCCCACTTCGGGTTCGCGCCATTGAACAACAGCACCCACGATAGACCGTTCGGGTTTGTCGCGGAGGAATGGAGGGTAGCGTTATGCGCATCTTCGGTGACGGCACCCTCTCCCCAGAAGTAGTTGTGGATTTCCTGGACGGTGTACAAGTCGTCATCGAACCGTTCTTGGAACTTCCAGCTGGGCACTGCTGATGGTATTGCGACGGGTGTCGTGGGCACGTCTGATACCGCTGTGGGCTCAACCTTCTTCCGAAGGTGTGGCGGTACGTAGACGCTTTCCATCTTGTCGTTGCCGTTCGCGGTTGGGAGCGGTGTCGAAAGGCTGTGCGACGAAGGGACTGCTACGCGTCAGATCATGGCCCCACTTCACCACGTGGGCACGCGCCTCCTCACTCCTCCCCTTCACCAAACGGATCAAGTCGAGTTGCAGACTACATGAGGTCGATCGAAAGCGAATGTATCGACGATACGGGTGCGTGGTAGCTTCACATCCTTTTGTTGTGGACGATAGTAAGGTGCTGGTAGTCTGACTATCGCCACGCTACTTGGTCATCACTGAGATATAACTGAAGAAAGACGACGTAGTTGCCTAGATACGTCCTGATTTTGAGCTCTTTTCTCCTTCCCTTTATCAATTTATGTGGTGAATGCGATTACGATGTGAAAGTGACTGAGGATATCATCATCTAATAGATAGTAAACTTCGAGCGGTTTTGAATCTAGCACCCCAACCTCTCACATAACCGCAGTACCAGAACCTCTTTGCGATTCAACAGCATTTATCCCTACATTACTAATCACAAATCATAGACCAAAATGACCACACCACAAGCGCAAACGGGCGAGCCGACCAATCTCGCTCACCTAATCTTCACCAAGACCGTTCGCTCACTACACCTAGACCGCCTCGCCCCACCCCGATTCCCTCTCCCCCACCCAATCACCATAACAATAACCCCACCTACACCAACTCCCTCTCCCACGCCCTCACTCTCCAACATGTCCTGGACCACCATCGAGCTCTCCAATTACCCACCAAAGCTCACCCACCGCGACGTCATCCTACTCTTCCAGGACTTCACGATCTCGCCCGACTTCGCGCTCCCCAACGTCAAGAACCTCGCCTACCCGCTACGCACATTCATCAAGATCACCGGAGAGGGGGAGGCAGAGCGCGCGGTACAAGAGCTGTGCTGGAGCAAGATGGGCGGTCGCCAGATCAACGTGAGGATGGTTGAGAAGACGGGTCACGAGGAGAAGGAAGTCGCTGTTGCGGATGTGGCTGATGAGATGAAGATTGGTATCCTCAGTACGTTCTCACACTGTCACTTCACTGATGCGAAACTAATATGACTAGATACTGCGCGCGTCTACAACCCGCATCTCGCCCTCAAGGTCCTTGAGATCCGCGAATGCATGCAGGGTACCTCCAACTTCGCCTTCCTACAAGCTCGCGATGTGGTCACGGTCTACAGCGAGCCTGGTGCGCATGTGCAGCCGGTTGACAACAAGGCAAAGTGGGAGCTCGTCATGGCTGGTCGTTCCGAGGGTTGGAACTGGAAGATGAAGGATGGGAGTGGAAGGCTTGCTGCGCTGAAGGATCTACAGGATACGATAGAGAGGCAGGGTGTTATGCGGAAGTTGTGGGGTCAGTGGGAGGGATGTCAGCGTTTGGATATGTGAGACGGGATTGTGTTTGTCGAGCTCTACATCTCTGGATATTACACGACGACTGCAGGATTCGAGTCACTTGACCGGGCTCTAACGGTGCTTTTGCGAGCTTTTCATTGTAGTGTAGAGAGTTCCTTGTATAGTCTTCTTTCATACATGAACGTGTAGGGCTGTACTTAGCGTTCATCTTGCCACCGAAACAACCTTCCATATGCCTTGAATACCACCTGCAAGCCGAACAACGGTCAATTGAATACAAGCTTGCCATCAGCCCGACCCAAAAGATACAAGTCAGCACCAAAATTGCTGTGCTTTGCGGCTAACTTGTTGAACAATCCTTGCGACAGATGATTGGCGCTCATCTTATAAATGTACTTGACGATAGCTTGACTCATAGCATCCATGGTTCCTGGGCAATTCGAGTAATGTGCGTTTATCAACTTTGCTAACGGCTCGAAGGCGGGCACTACATGAAGCACGCCGATGCCAGTCTTGAAAGCAACTAAAGCAGCTTTCTGCAGGATCTTGGCGTCATACTTGTCGGCAAGACCGTGAAGCTCGATAATGGGGACCATTTCGTTCTTGATGATGTTGTTCACCCCAGTAGGCGTAACTGACGGTGTAGTTGTTACATCGAGGTCCATGTCGTAGAAGAACTCCATCATTCTTTGGAAAGTTTCTGGATCGTCTTCGTGAACTTCGATGATGTCCGCAGATGCTTCCTGTCAATCTTGTATCAGCTCACTGGCCGTTCATTTCTGGAAGCAATACATACCATGAAACGACCGGTTAGGGCTGCCATGAACCACCCAGAGTGGGCGCAGAGTACGGCCTTATGAGCTACATACTCCTTGACCTGGCCTTTGTAGATCTGGCGGATCTTGATGTCGGAGAACGTGGGGTCATTGTAGAGCCTGAGAGCCGGAGATGTAAATATGTTATTGGGGACAGACGTCGTTGCCCACAGGAGAGGCACTTACGTGCGGCGGGCCGCTGTCGCTGGTTGAGCCATTGAGGTGACAGCTTTGGGGATACTTCGTACGTATCGCAGGAGAGAAAGAGTATGTGGCAGTGTTTTGAAGTTGGGCGCCCCAAGTTCGATATAGAAGTGGGGCGAAGTTAGCAAACAAACACGCTCGCTAAGCGCGAGGTGCGAGGAAACCTCATAATGCAACGGGGAGCGGTGAGAGCGCTACAAGAAGATATCAACATGATTCTGACTGCCTTGTACCACTAGCCGAGGAAATGCGCAGTATGATTGAAGAGCGAGAAATGGAGGTGACAGAAGACGAAGAAGTCAGGTACGCAAAGTTGAGCCTGCTCATCTTAAGAGATATAACCATCCGCGGTCCCTATTCCGCTCACATTGTCTCCTACTCCGTACTTCTCAGATCAAAGACATGTTTCCGACAAAGCGGACAGTCATGAGCCCTCGCATATGGCCCGTTGACCTGCTTCGACAGACAATCTTCACAGAACATGTGGTTGCAGGCGATAAGTCGACGCATGCTCCGCTGTGGCTCGAAACAAATGCAGCATTCCGTATCCACCACAGTCGAAAAGACGTCCAAATTGTGATCACTTGCCAGGCGTGGTGGAGCTACTGCTGTTGCTGGGTAGTCTTGTAGCACTGAGACTTCACCCGCGAGATATGGCGTGGAGAGGAGAGTATGCTCGATCGTCAAAGGGCTCATCGCTGCGCCCGCAACTGGCTCGGTATCGTGTAGTCCTTGATTTTCTGGCATGTGCTCAGTGCAATAGTACCGATCCAGCACATTGCTTTCGTAGAGAGCCCCAATACGCATACATCGATGTGAATTCCCGATAGATTGACCTTGTGGTCTCTCAACGATGGCTTCGCAACGATCTGCATGTGAGTCGCAAAACCATTGCTGACTTTCGGTGTCAACGCAACTGCCACGTCTCCAGCCGTCTTCCGTACATGACGGGAGTCTTATGCGCGCATTCCCGATGCAGTAGCCGCACAGCCAATTATCTGAGAAGGCGTAGTATATGAGAGCTGGGTTCGGACAGCCGCGGAGCCGCTCGCAGACGTCGGGCCGGGTACGCATATAGTAGATGGCTGTTTTGAAGTGTCCAAGCCCACCAAGGTTGATCAGGATGTAGCGGCGTATATGTCGAGTGTGAGTTTTCCGGAGTGATGACTTTCTGACAAACAAAGGGTTTTCGCACAGAAGTGTCGATAAAGGGCAGGGTCCTGAGGCTGAGATCCGACGTAGCAACTTTCGCTGCAGTCCAGCCATTCACTCTTTCCGGACATCATGGCCGACGGTCAGAGCTCCTCCCAAGCTAACAATGTCCCTGCAGCAGCAGGCGGTCGCGAGGTCATGTGTCGTGATTGACGTGCGGTGACATTTCCGCAATGTGCATGCGACAAGTTTGGTTCATGATTCAGTGGCAGGCGCGCTCGCTAGGACGTGATGCATCGACCTGCGTTCTCTTAGCGACTGCTTCGTAGTCAATAACCGGTAGAACGCGAACACGATGCCACTTTTCGCGTGTTAAATGCGCGTTAAATTCCATATTGTCCTGTAAAAACATAAAGGACGCGTCAGAATCAGAGTAATGCCAGCGCATCGCGTCGTGGTGATGGAAATGGACGGCGTAAGAATGTTGGTTCGTGGCTCGACCTGAGCGCGCCCTGCTATGACGTCACCACCTTCCACATCTTCATGACACTGAGAACAAATCCCTAAGGTGTCAGTAAGTTGAGACCTCCACGCCCTTACATCAATATGGAAGCGAATTCAACATGATCGATATCAGAGGCTTCACGATATAATCACTAGGATACTGGTGATAGTTGCCCAGTAGTGTCGTGGAATGAGTGTATCCAAAAAACAGATTGGTAGGTGTCCGGGTTTGCTGTTGATGAAAGAACATAAAAAAACATGTTGCTTGGATAAGTAGTGTTGGGCAACCACTTAGTGAAACGATGAAAAAAAAGACAGCATGAACGTCTGTCAGCGGCAGAGATGAATTTGATCAGTGGATGAATACGTGCATCCGCCAAGTCCAAACTGACAAACACCCGGCAATGAACCCTCAATTACACACCAGCGTAGCAAGAAGTCCAAAAATGCCCTCTTAATCGATCAGATATAGGGAAGGAAGAATGAGCCAACCACACGCCTCAGAACCCGCGGTGCTCCTGCTTCTTCGTTGGGTGCTCCCAACCTTGCGAGTGTAGACCTATCCCCGTGAGCCCATATTGGCTCTTTATCGTATCTGACACTCGTTGTGCTCGACGTGCTTGGCGAATCCAACACAATGCACCTAGCCTCTTGATTGTGTTGCCAGTCTCGAAATTGGTATTCCCTTTGGATCATCTTCCCCGATGCCGCACGAAAGTCTTCCCGACAAATAAGCATGCGTGGTGGGTGACAATTATGTTGTATCCAAATAAGCTTGGCAGCAGCGACGGGTAGAGCTGGGTAGAAAAGGTGCCATGGTGCCGTGGGCTTGTCGGTGACATCTGCTGTTCGTGCCATAAAGACTGCAATGGGCGACTTGGGTACGTGGTTGGAGAGTCTGTTGGCGATGAGGGTTTGCGCGTCGTGCAGCGTGAATGCATATATATAGGTGAAGCCATCGGGATCCGTATAGCGGGAGAATTCTATCGGACGGGGTGGCGGCAGAATCAATGATAGCGTGCGCCTTGAGGTCCCGACCGGAGCTGCATTATGTATATTCGCATGAGAATTGTCGCTATCCATGTTCTGGGTGATGTGCTATGGTGAACGAGATGTGACGTGTCCAAGTCTGATGTACATCGTTCGCTTCTTGCTACTTGCACGCGCTTCCTGCCGGATACTGGGGTATGAGTAGTTGTTGCGAAGGCGCGAGGCCTCGAGGAAGCCGCATTGAACGCGCAGAGGAAGGTGACATGGATGGACAATCACCCAGACAAGTTCACCGACAGCACTGGGACCAGCGCGTGTACAAATGGGTCTGAGATAATCTGGAGAAGTTTGAAGGGTTCGAAGGTAATGATCCACCGCAAGGATGGCGTCTCTTTGTTCCCGACGCCGTTGCTGTTCGGCCGTAATGCGGGATGAGGTTCCATGATCTGTCGTCCCACGTATGCAGACAGCCGCGACCGGTCGTGCTTGGCAGGAACGACTGGCTAGATGGATAGTCGGATTGATTTGGTCGGAAAGCCGTCTGGCCTAACACCACGGAAACAGATAGTCATGCGAGTGCAAGCCTTGTGGCACGTGAGCGTGACTCAGCAAGCACGTATATGTGTCGTTGGGTGACAGTCGCGTGGCAGGAGCGTTTAAGCTCCTTCCCGGTACGCGGGTGGGTCTTGGCGATGCAGGGATGTTGTGCCGACGAAGCGTGGGAACCTGGAAATCTGACGGCATCAGCACAAGACACCAAGCGAAGCAAATACGGAGCCCCGCAGAGTGTCTGGAGAGGGCCTACATCGAGTTTGCTAGATCGAGATCCTCCTGTTCGCCCTGAATTTTTCACTAGCCACAGCCGCTACGACGCAGCGACGCGATCCGGGCCTGCCGCTTTGGCCGCTTTCATCTGCCCCGACCGTTAAGTCCGCGCTTTCACCTACGTACACCCTCGCCCTCGATGCAGCAACCCTCGTAGCCCTGCGCCCGCGCTCCCTTCGATTATGTTCCGCCAGTCGACGCTCCCATCACTCAGGCACGTCGCGTGCACTCGCGACCACCTCGTTCGATAATCCTCGACTCGGTCAATGGCATACGGTTGAAGCAGCATAATGGCTCTGCCAACCCTCCAGTTCCTCGCGGGGCTCGTGCTCCTCATATACCTGCTCTCCTTTGTCCTATTCGCCTTTATACGCATAGCTACCGGGGTCTCCATACAGCGCCTGGGCTTACGGGGCCTGCGACGCATCGCCTTCACGCCCAAGGATGGCCTGCGCATCGAGATCCGCGGACTCGGTTTCACCCTTCACCGACCCACATTCGCACAACCCACGGTAGTCAGCATCGTCCTGCACGAGCTCAAAGTCACGGTCGACCTCAAAGCGCTGGGAGAAAAGCCGCGGAAGAAGACGGGATGGGCCCATTGGGCAAACGGCACTACACAAAAGGGCAAGAGCGGCCAGAACACGCCCGAGCCCGTGGCGGAGGATGACGACCTGGGCGATGACGAGACACCGCGAAGCCTGACGTGGAAGCGGCTGACAGATGCCAAAGAGAAGATCAAGCGCCTGCACCGGAACATCAACTGGCTCAGGCAGGTCGATGTCGTGGCGCACGCGACCACCCTGGTCGTAGTCGATGTGGGCTCCATCCAGGTCGGCGGCCTCAACCTGGCAGTCGACACACGGCGCAAGACGGTCGATCGCAGTCGCCTCTTCAACCATCACAAGCCCAAGTCCGACGAGGAGCAGTGGCCAGCCGAATGGCTCTTCTCCGCCCGCAGCATCCTGTTCACGCCGGAGGGCAGAGAATCGACAGAACTCCTGGATCACTGCACCCTCAACGTCCACGGCTTCCTCAAGAAAGGCCTCGAGGGTCTGCGCGATGCGTCCATCGCACTCAAGCTGGGTCGCCTCCTCATTCCACTCGACGATGTCAAGCTGTGCATGGAGAGGGCCCAAAAGTGTCGCGCGCCTAGCCCTCGAAAGCGTTCTCGGGGCAGTCGGACACATGTATCGCTTAGCGATGTGATGGAAGAGCTCGACGACCCCAACAGCCGCGAAGAAAACCTTGTTCGTACCGTATCCGACTCGCGTGAGTTCGCCAGCTCCATCCTCCGCGGTATCCATGAATTTCAGTTCGCGATTGGCTTCCTCGGCCTCACCAAGCAGATCGAAATGGGCCACAGCTCCGAGCCTCCAGTCTACCTTAATCTCTCCATGAAGGAAGTCGGCATGGACCTCCTCCGCCTCGATCCTCGCAGTCCCGCGCATCTCATGTACTTCTCGCCTGACGACATTGCCCACCAGGCTCTCCTTGCCGCCATATCCATATCTGTCGGAATTGACAACAGCGATGGCCATCC